ATTATGCTGATCTCCTAGGATTCTAAGGTGGTGTCCCTGGCGTAATTGTCCTAAATTTCTAAACGAGCATATTATAATGTGTTCTAGAGGATGTGATAGCCTAAAATAATTTTTCTATGACATTTTTCTTAAGACTGTCTACTTCGAATTCTTAAAGCTCTACTATTTCGTCAGAATATTAGATCTGAGCGAAACGCTAATCATTTACTTCCTAGAGATGCTTTGCTCTTAAATCAAAAGCTCCAGATTGATAAACCACATTAAGTCTCTAGGTCACTCCATCAATAAAATCTTTACCATTCTCAGCACTGATAACTCCGCAAGAAGAAAAATCATTTTGTTGTTTTTCATAATTTTTTTCATTTGCACTGACTATATCTATTTTGAAGCCTATAAACACCTTCTTGAAATTTTCCAAGATAGCTTCAAACACTTCTTCATCAATTTTTGTTCCTCCTAAACTTGGAAGTGGGTTGAAAATTTATACCTAGCCTCCTATTTATTTATGACTTATTAATAATTTAACCAGTCCTAAGCACCAATGAACTCCATCAATATTATATGGGAATATCATTATATGTCTTTGGATTTGTTCTTACTAGGTTTTATTCCATTTGAATATCTGTTTTATACCTTTGACAAAATCCTTAATCATGGGCTCTTGCTTATAATGATGAGCAACTGGTCCGCATATACTTAAACTGTATGCCCTTATAGTTATATACAATGAATTTCTTTTAGGGGTGATCAATAATCCTGATTACTTAGCTAAACTCATTGTATTTTTGGTTGAAAATAGAGACTTGCAAATGTCTTTGTTAGGAGAAACCCAGTAGCAGAGTTACTTTTTCTTAACATAGATGTCCCATACCTTAAGAATCTAATGTTCATAATAATAGGATGATGAATTAACTTCAAAATAGTTTGGTTCCTAACTCTATCTAGAACTAAATGATCTCTCCATTTTATTAATTTTATTACTTATTTTCTAAATTATCTTTTCTTTATCTTTTATAAATATTTTACAATTGGGGTTTTGGGGTTTTGGGGTTTTGGGGTTTTGGGG